TTTAGTTTAGGTTTCCTCCTGTAGTAACACTGGATCAATAAGAGATAATCCTTAATGGACCTCTAGGGAGAACAGTTTACAACTGATAGAGCTACCCAGAATAAATAAAGTTAGTTTAGTTTAGGTTTCCTCCTGTAGTAACACTGGATCAATAAGAGATGATCCTTACTGGACCTCTAGGGAGAACAGTTTATAACTGATAGAGCTATCCAGTATAAATATAGTTTAACATATTTTTTTACCTCTTCGCTGATCTTGGCGGGTACGGCGGCAAACTCGGGTGACGATGCGTACGTATTGAGATCGTCGACACTATCGATCAATGGAACAATGAATTTAGCACATTCTTTACGGTGGTCACTGTTTGGTTCTTTAGCCAAGACCTACACGATGAGATTAAGGAAAAGTAAAAAATAGCTGCGAGTTGGAGAGGATGCCAGTGATTGGTACACGCACCTTTCCCTTCTGTGACCAGGGTTCGATTCCTGCAATATGCAGTCGTCTGATTATAATTTCACCTCAGTCGCATGTGAGAAGAGTGTTTCCACTTTTACTCTACCAAACACAGGGTAGTCTAGTTTCCTCCTGTGGTAACACTGGATGAATAACGGTTGGGCGTTGCTGGACCTCTGGGGAGAACTTTATAAAGTTACTCTAAGGCCAGCTTACACTATCAAAATTTCTGTGATCACAGTAGGAATTTTGCATAGGTAAATACCAAGTTTTAAAGGATTTGTGAGAAATGTTTGAGGGGACTCAGTCAGTGTTAAACAATAAGTCGGTTCCCTCAAAGATTTCTTACAAATCCTTTAAAACTTAGAATTTACCCATGCAAAACTCTTCTGTGGTCACAGAAACTTTGATAATGTAAACCAGACTGTAGTTACCTTGATGGCTTTGACCAGGTTTGCTGTGTTGTTGGCAATATCCTTGGCTGCTTGAACGAAATGTTTTTTCGCCACCGGGTTGTTGGTCTTAGCAGACGCGGCCTTACATACATTGCAGAGGTTTGAGGTGTGCTTAGCCACTGCCGTCGCCGATTGTAAGATCTACAGTTAAAAGCAAAAATAAGTCCAAATCGTTTTGACTTTTAGATCATAGCAATCGTGAATGCAATTTGTTCAGCGTTTACAATCATTTACCTGGACCGAAGGGAAAATATCTGATATTATAGTAGGTTGAGATTAAAACTGACCTGTTGTTGATTACTGGATGGGTTCAGTAGATCATCACAAGCTTTCTGAATGTCATGTCGAGCTCGCTGGAATTGATTGGCGTCAACCAAACCTGGTTTACCAGCTACGCTTGATGGATCCGAAATAGCAACCAGATAAGCGGCCTGTAAAGAGAACGAAAGGTGAACAAGAGAGAAATAAAGAAAGGTGAACAAGAAATAAAGTTGGTTTAGTTTATACCTGAGAAGCGGCTTCAGTGAGTTTAATAACAGCATCAGCGACGCTCTTCACTGCATCGTCAAATGCAGACATATCTCCTGTCTTGGCATTTCCAGAGACGTCGGTCATTCCGTCTCGTAGAGCTTTCGAGTTCTCACTCACGGAATCAAGACAATCAAAGAACGAATAATCATTGACTGGCTCGACCGGGTTCTCCAGGAGATTAGATACAGCCTGAAGTGGAAATATATTAATGTTTCAATACTAACACTTAGAAAGTTTAGCTCTTGTGAGTCAGTAAAGATGAGTGATCTCGATGTCTTCTTTTGTATGTAAACATATCATTTCTCGTATTAAGTTTCCAGCCAACTACAAGTTTCCACAAACCTGAATATTTCTAAGAGCGCTTTCACATTCTTTTTGACCAGGAGCAGCAGTCATTGCTGTATTCAATAAGTTGTTAATACTGTCTGTCACGGCTCTGAAACAGGACAATATAATTGATATAATCAACACATAGTATAACTGATATAATCAACACATCATAGTACACAACACCAACCTCGCAGCTCCAGCCAGGAGATTCTTGGAATTGGGAGCATTTGGATCAGCAGCGAGGGACTTGGCTGCGAGGAGAAGTTTACTTGAGGCCGTTGATGTGTTCTTTAAGCTGCGCACTAAAGCCGATTTCGTATCGTCATCCTTAACAAATACAAAACTATGTTAGAAAAAATACAACAAGGTGAATAATTGTTCATTATATAAATTTATATTCACTTCAGACTCTCCTTACCGTAGTCTGACCAGCTAGTTGCATGCCAGGGTTCATGAGATCCTCGAACGATTTGGAATATTTCTGAGAGGACACGGCAAGTTCATTTGGTGAACCACGCGAGGCCTGCACCAGATCACTTGCAGCCAAGTTCAACAACGCACCAGATTCGTTCACTTGGTCTTGTAATTTCTGGTAGCTGTCGTCACTCGGTGGGAACTGAAGCAGGGTGCGATAATTCAATATTTTTAGCCGTACCTGACAGGTACTCCGACAAGTTTTGCCGCGTACCTGATCTGGTACAAACATAAGAGTCAAGACGTACCTAAAGCCCCGTTTACACTACGCTCAATTTTTGGTACCGTACCACTTTTTGGTTCTTGGACTACCTAAATAGGTAGTCCAAGAACCAAAAAAGTGATACGGGTACCAATTTTATCCGTGCCGTACCAAACATTGAGCGTAGTGTAAACGGGGCATGCGTTTTCATACCTACGTATAGTTTACTGGTCCAAAAGCAAAAAATGTAATGGTATTTTATTACAACAGTACATAATATAACAGTTTTCAAAGTGTCGACGTTGTGACTCGAATGCCATCGCTCATTTACAGCGGATTTACCAAGGGTGCTAACAGTCTAACCTCAGCTACATACAGTGTAGTTTTCCTCATTGGGCCTAAAAAAAGCCTGTGGTTCCGGTTTCATATCGCGAAAAAATTAGGTTAGGTATAGGTAGATATTTTTTTCCATGGTTTTGGCAGTTTTTTGCTGGGCGATTTTCAGTAGAGTCCCAACATCAATATTAACTAGAAATGCGTAGTTCCTACAGACGAATTTAGGCAATTTGGTTCAATAATTACGACAACAGACGATATTTTGGCACGCTGTACGAGCAGCCCGCAACCACCCGGAGAAATTAGGGTCCTAATGGGGTCCACGGGCAGAAAAAAATATGGTCGGTCGGGAAACCGGAACCACAGGTATTTTTTTTATTGGCCTTGGTATAGCATTGGCAATTAAGCCCAGGTCACCCCACACAACGGTAACGATAACTTTTAAAAAAATTATGTTGGTGTCCACACTACAACGAAAATGATAAAATTGTCGGCGTTTCACGATAACGATTTTAAAATCGCTCACACGAGAGATTTTTTTTTCAGGCGGGCAATGACGATAAATTTTCTTTTGGCTTCTTTCATCCCAAAGTATGTCGGATGCGTGGAATTTAAATGTACAGCTAAAGTTACTAACGGTTTTGAATACTTATGTTTGCTAGTTATTGCTAGAAGGAAAATGTAAGTACGCGAATGGCAAATTTCCGCGTACCTACGTGGTACTTGCCTAAAAACAAAGAAGTACCAGCCCATAAATTTGGCGTACCTCCGGTACGTTGGTACGCGAATTATCGCACCCTGACTGAAGAACACGGAAAGAACTTTAGGACATATCTAAGATGAACTCGTAAGTTTGGAAATGAGTTTTAATGATGACTTACATCTTCAGAGGCAAGGAGTTCACTTGCTTTCGAAACTCGTTGAATGGCTTCGTCAACATCCTTCTGTCCAGGAAGACAGTTGATGCAGTTCTTCAGTGACTGGGACACATCTTTAGCAACCTACAAACACCGAGAAAAATTGGGTAACCAGGGTATACCCTAACTCAATCCAAGCTATACCCATACATGACCAACTATATATGTACTCTAGCTCTATCCATAACTGACCCACTATATGCAAGCTCAGTCCATAACTGACCCTGTGTATCCCTACCTTTCCCAATCTCTGCTGGTTGTTTGGATCATTGGGATTACTGACCATACATGACCCATTATATATCCTAGCTCTATCCATAACGAACCCTCTATATCCAAGCTCAGTCCATAACTGACTCTCTGTATCCCTACCTTTCCCAATCTCTGCTGGTTGTTTGGGTCATTGGGATTACTGGTCGCTTTCTTTGCCTCCTCCAGTAACTGTGCAGAAGCTCTCATGACGTCCTGTGCAGCCTTAATGATATTCTTCTGATCGTCTCTGTCCTCAAGAGCAGCGGCAACACCTCGTACAGCATCGGTAAGTACTCGGAGAGCGTTCGCGGTGTCTCGGGCGGCTATACCTGTGTAGTTCTCGTTTGCCTGGCAAGAAATGTAGGACGTGAAACGGTTTCATTCATAAAACGAAAATGTATTCCTCAATATACATAAGTAAACGAACGTAACCTCTTCAAGGATTACACTTATTTACCAAAAGTAGCGAAACATGTTTAATACTAGCGAGTTTAGGCATGCGACGTTTTTGTCAACACAGACGCCACCCAAAAACTGGTAGAACTAATTTTGGCGGCATTTTGCTTCATAGTGCTCTTGCAAGGAAGCAAAACACTTTAAAAATCTTATATTTTGTCATATCTGTTGAAGCGTACCTGTGCGGCTGCTGTCAATAATTGTGCCATGGAGGAACCGACTGTTTTTGAAGTCGCACCAAGATCCAATGAACTGCTTTCCAACTAAAAAGATAAAGTTGAATAAATATTTTCTATACATTTCTAAGCTACACCTGTAGCCTTGCAGAAAGAAAGAAACGAGTCGAAGAGAAACCCGAACACAACTTACCGATTCTCCAGGCAGTGGGAGCAGTTTTCCTTCGTCGGCAGATTTCTCCAGAGCTTCCAAGTCTTCAGCAAGAGATTTCACGCCTTCCAATGCACTGTCAATCTCGATTGAACCGCATGCTTCTGCTGCCTAAAAAATATTACACACATTCAAATTTTATATAACATACAAAAACAAGACAAGAAACTATAATTGATCAGACGCAGGTTGTATGATGGCCTCTACTCTACTCCACTCCACTCTCTGATGGACCCAGCCAACGTACAGTTGCCCCCCTCGTTCATCAAAGCGTTATCCATGATATATTTACCTTGTTCGCTGCATCTCGGAGTTCAGCGAGAGAGGCTGCAGTTCCTTTAGCGAAGCCACCAAGTTGCGTGCTAGCAACAGGATCTCCCATCGTGGGTAAAGATGCTTTCGCTGCGGCTACGAGTTTTGTACCAGGCTAGAAAATCACGGATAGCATGCTCGTGACATGGTTTACTACAATGTTTGAATGCTGTCAACGTAGGGCTAGACACATAAAGGCCCATTTACACGATACGACTATAGTCGAGTGTCATTCTGGCGTATGAAAACGACTGCTGGATTGCCACTATTCCTGTTCATCAGTTTATGGCGAAATCTGACATGTGACATCTTCACATGCATTTATTCGAGTAAGATGGACCGTAAACAGCTTTTCTATCATTTGGTGGGTAAGCATACGTACCGGTATAAAGTCTTTGGAGGTGTTAATCAAGTTCAATTGTGTGGTTGGGTTATTTGGATTATTCATACTATCTTGAATTGTTTGGTTGAGTTTTTCTACATGTTCTTGAACAGGCTAAACAAGAAGGAAGCAATGTTAAGACTGTTTCCAGAATAATGAATTACCACCACAATGTCATTGTAAAGTGTGTTCACCTTGAGTTGGTCTTGAAGAAGCTGTTGTGACGAGGGGTTCCGATTTGCGGCCGATGTATGGTCGGCTGCTGTTAACAGTTGAGTTGTCATCGCTGAAGCTTGCTTGGCAGCGTCCTGATGCGGGAAGAAGTTTTGGTAAAAATGAACAGAATGGAAGAGAAGAAGGTATACACGAAGGAAAGAGGAAGAGAAATTAAAGAAAGGAGGGATGTACGGTAAAGAATGGAAGAAAAATACAGAAGGAAGAAGAAGGCAAGTTGATTAAACCCACACGTTTCTGGGAATCAAGTAACGGTAAGAATGTAATCAAGGGGAAAATTAACAAAAAATGAACTAGAAGAATAAATGGACTCAAATTTTGTCAAAGTACGAAAAGAGAGAAGGCAGAAGTAAAAGGTCACTTACCTCCAAACGTTTGATCAATTTCTTCTTCAGCGCGTTGTTTGCGGCAGCATCTGTGGCCAAACGAATATCAGAGGCTGCTTCGCGTAACCTTTGTTGTTCCTTCGCATCATTAGGATTCCTTGCAGCACCCTAGATATTCCACGTAATACAACATAACCACGTTAGTGATACTCTGCATCGTATTGGCTAGACTGGGTATGTATGGAGCATATTATTTTGGAAACCCATTCTCAGAAAGACACCGGAAATTATCAAAGCTAATAATTCCAAAATTAACATCTCCCCACAGGCAGGAACGAAAATTAAGAAATGGACCTTGGAGGCTTCATACAGCACTTAGTAGATTCTACGGTAATTTTTAAAGCTAACCTTTGCGGCTTCGACCATCTTTGCAGTGGCGTCAGCAAGGTTCTTGGCCGCAGCCAAAAGTCGTTTCTGTAAGTCAGCGTCCTCCTCGCCTTCCGCTTGAGCTTTGATACCGTTTACAAGAAAAGACATCGCCTAGACGAGTAGGAAGTACATGAAAAATTATTCAAAATAGAGAGATTCGTTTAATCCGTGTATATCCGATACAACACGGCAGCTCGTGTTGTAAATAGTACATATCAACTGTAACCTACCTGAGCCAATACTTTAGCTTGTTTCACCATTTCACCAGCGTTGCCCATGCTGTTAAACATGCGGTCAGTGGCATTCAGAATATCATCACACGCGTCATCATATGGGCCCACGTTACGATCATTCGGCGCTCCCTCTTGTACTTTATTTAGTAAGTTGTTTAGCGCATCACGGACACCTTTCGCAGCATTGGCCAAATCGTTCAATAAGTTCGGATCAGACGAGGCATCCTAATAACAAATTTGTGGTTGTATAACTTAGTTTCTCGAGTCGCTCACTCATTGGTGAGGCCAAAAAAAAATATGTGGGTTTCCAGTTTCCCGACCCTACCTAGCTTTTCGACGTCGAAATCCCGACCCTAAACTTTTTTATTGGATCATGCTTGTAAGTGTTTCCACTTAGAGGAAAAAGTTTGTGGAAAATTGAAATTTGAGGCAATATTAGGGAAATTTATCTTTGGATGTGGAAGCACTGACTAAACAAAATGGCGTCCGCTTGTTAGGAAAATAAAAAAAAAGTTAAAAAAAAAGTTAAAACCGACCAGCCCTACCTACGTTTTTATAAGAAGAAACCGGAAACCCACATTTTTTTTTGGCCTGAACAGGTTTCCCAACAGGCTATTGCCCAACTGATAGGGGTCCCAGGTTTTCCGACCAAGGATTGAACCCGGGTCTCCCAGCTTGAAAGGCGTGGTGACCACGACCATAGAGATTATAAATAACACTAGAGGAGGCATTGTAATCTTAATTCAGTAAGAAAAAGGGAACGCGACTATTGGGGGGCAAATTCAAGTCCCGGATGTGTATTCGTGTTCCCATTGGTGACGAGTTTCAAATCAGCCAATGAGAGCACGATTTTATATCCGGGACTTGAATTCCCCCCCCAGTAGCGGCGTTCCCAATTTTTAAACTCGATGCCTCCTCTAGTGTTATTTATAATCTCTATGACGAGACCACTGTAAGTTAAAGATGATATCTTTCGAACTTTTTTTGAATTGAAACGTACAGTTCATATTCATTTACAAGCATAGCGAACCAGAAAAGTGTTAGATATTCAGTTAGTATATCATATTTTACAAATATAGTAGTTCAAAATGTAAACAAAGTTTGCGCATGTGCACAGAGTGGACATCATCTTTAATAATATGTAAATTACGATTATGGTGTGTATAAGTAAATTCAGGTCTTTTACCTTGCAAGCGCCTTCAGTGCCTTCCACAGCCTTGGATACCAACTTGGCAGCTTCAACGACTTGATCTTTGCACAGTTGACTGTTGATGGAAGGCGCTAAGACTTTTGTACACGCCACCAGTTGTGACGTTGTCATGGCAGTATCTTTAGCTGAGCCAATCACCTGACTTTGTAGGGAAACGTCACCACACTTACTGGCAATGGCCTTGGCCTTCAATACCAGAGCGGCGGTGGCGTTGGCCACAGCCTGGGCAAGAGCTAACAGCATTTCCTAGTTAAGAAGAGAAAATAACGAAGGGAATTTAAACCACTGTACGAATATTGTATATTAGGTTTATAGTATAGTACAGTACTGTACACGTAGAAAACTTTGCCTTTACCATACGAACGAATGCAAATTATTTGTCTGGCGTCCAAGAAAACTGCAGTGATAACATTGTGTCTCTCAATACCTGTATTCCTGAGTCGACTTCTTGTTCGCCGCCCATCGAGTTCAATACGTTCGCTCCAGCAGTTCCAACATCACCAACAGCTTCTAGTAGCTTTTGACGGTTTTGCTAAAGAATGAAAACTTCAAAATGAAATACTGTTTGACGTGCTTTCTGATGTCAGGAGGTTCCTGGTTTGGCTTTTGTATAAGCAGACTGATATCAATATTACAATATAGAAATATAACTCTGTTACGCCTAACTGGATCTTTTAAACTTCTCTCTATTGGCCGTAAAAAGCAGTGAAACCTACACAATTCTTTATGCCAGCCAAATAAATACAACAAATTCACGTATCGCCATCGGCTAAATGAAAACTTCAGCTTCAAAATTAGATTCTCTTAATACGCTTTCTGATTCACGAAGTTTCCTGGTTTGTTTTCGTATAAGCAGACAGATATCAATATAGAAATTGAAAAGCTTTGCTAAGACTAACTGTACCTTTTAAAATCCTCTCTATTAGCCGTAAACAGCAGTGGAACGTTCACAAATAGTAGCGAAACGTTCATAACTCTTTATGCGAGCCAAATCAATACAACAAATTCACGTACGGATGGAGCAAATCAACACAGAATTTCACCAAACAGGAAATTACATGGCCAGATAAATATATGGACAAGGAAGCCAAGGACAAAATTTCCACCGGAGGCAATTAGATTTGCAATTCAATGTAGTTAAGACCAAAATCAAGGCAATTTATTTAGCACAGATGTTGATTCAACTCTAACAACTCTCCTATGCTTACATTATCAGGAGCGCCAGGACTGCCATGCGCAGCTTGAGTAAATTTGCGAAAGCGTCGGCCAGGTTCTTCGCAGCGTCTTGTAGTTTATTCCCATCGTCTTCTTCATCCATCAAAGCCGCGATCATTTGAATACCTTTAGTTAGTTCTTCAAGATTGGATGAACTACAGAAAGAAGTGACGACATTAACATACAGGGCGTGGTTGTCATGGTGACCCGAGTGTAATGGTGGCACAGTGGTTAGAGCAACTCTAGTGTCCTCATGCAGTAACACTGGATCAATACACTCCTTACCAAACCTTTAGGGAGAACAGTTTAGAACTGATAGAGCTATCCAGTATGAAAAAATGCAATTCAGATAAACAATTCCAACTGGCAACTTACATTGTGTCAACAGCTGCACTCGCTTTGTTGTAACTGGATTCGTCTGGTTCAACTAGGTGGGAAGCACGTAACATGAAGTACTTGCAAAACTAAATAGTCGAGCGTGTGGTGAATGGACGTACCTGTTGTCAACGTCACAATAGATGCTGTGGACGCAGAAAGAGCCGCGAGACGGTTGGCAACATTTTGTCTGTTTGCATCCAAGTTGTTCTGTTTCCACTTGAGTGATTGCTGAAAATTGATGGAGGAATACAGATACAGCAAGCAGAAGAGCAAATATTCTTCAAAGGCCGGTTTACATTTGCAATTTTTGCTACGATTTCTAGTGTGACTTTCTTCTTCTGATAGATGTGAACGAGTGGATAAGTTATGAATGTCAAGATGCGAGTACATGTACTCCGGACATTCATAATTCATCCACTCATTCACATACATCAGAAGGAGAAAATCGCGCTAGAAATCGCAAGCAAAAATTGCAAGTGTAAACGGGTCTTAACGATCCTTCTCAAACTCATTATTGTGGTTTTACTGCACTCACCGGATCTTCTCCTAAGGGAGGAAGGTCAGCGGATTTCTCCATTTCGTCACGCGCAGATCTCACCGATGTCAAGCCCTGGCTTACACGTCCAAAGAATGCTTGCTGGGCATTGCCAGGCTTGTGGATCTTAGGCTGAGTACCACCAGTCTAGACAGACAAACGTATCCATTAGTGAATGTTTCAGAGAGGCAATCTGGATACTATAGGTGTCGTAACCTAAACTATTATTCTTAGGGGATGTTACTACAGAAGGAAAGCTACTCTGAACTAAACTTTCTTTATACTATTTACTTATATCAGTTCTTAACTGTTTTTCCTAGAGGTCAAGTAAGGGCCATCCCTTATTGATCCAGTGTTACTACAGGAAGAAACCTGAACTAATTTTATTATACTAGATAGCTATATGAGTTCTAAACTGTTCTCAGTAGTGGTCCAGCAATCTCTTGTTCATCCATACAGTATTGCAACAGGAAGAAACCTAAACTGTACTAACTTTATTTATACTGGATAGCTCTATCAGTTCTAAACTGTCCTCAGTGAAGTACTCATTACCATTGGAGCTTGATGTCCAGATTTTGCTTGACCGGAAACTGTTCCATACTGTGCTGCCTGCATTTGACCAACATCAAACTGCGTTGCACCAGGTCCACCAGCTCGCATAATTCCTGGCAAGGCAACTGATCCGGGCTCGGCATGGCCTATCTTGTTAGTCTGACGTTCAAGGATTGTACCCCTTAATGTGAAATATTGCAACATAAATAAATGTGTTTGGCGTGTTGAGAAAAACGTTGTTTGCTTAAGCTCCCTAATGGTAGCATACTAACTTTGAAGGAGTAACTGAATCCTCTAACATAGTCGATTCCTCGTCCGCGTCCATATCGAATCCTTCATTTCCACGTTTCTATAGAATATCATTAGTATGTACGGTAGTGAGCAACCACGATACAATAGAAGACAGCACATGCCTTACATTTCACGACGACAAACGTGTAGGGTATTTACGAGTTTCAGCAAGCTTTAAAGGGCAACGAATAGTGATGAAATTTTGTCAGAGGAAGAAAAATTAAACTACATCTCTCGTTTCTGTTTATTTGCCATCAAATACAAGACTATTACATATAATGAAAAGAATGAACATTATTTTCTCACTTTGAGAACTGCAGGTTGATCAACATCTGCTGTACGATAGTGCTTAGTAAAACTCGACAATTTCCATCTACATGCAATACCCATCAAATATTACTCATTCGAGTGTGATGCCACAAAAATCTTGACAGTGCCGTCGCGAGGAACTCGCTTCGGGGGGGTTTGGTTAAATCTACCTGAAAGTATCAAATTTTCGAATTTTACCTGAAAAAATTTTTTCGGAAAATTTTTTTTTGGTGACCTCCCCCCCGTCGCCAAAACATTTTCGGTCAGTGTACCATTTTAGAGGTAAAAATATTTTTCCGGACATATCCAAATTTTTCGCGACATAAAAAACTTTTTGGATATCACAAATTTTCTCCGTTTATCAAAGAAATTTTTCTAAAATTCTGAAAATTTCTTGGATTTTCTAAAATTTTTGTAAATATACCTTATTTTTTTCCCAAATTGACAGTTATTTTTGTAAATTAACTTTCTCTGGTCCTAGGAATTACCTGAAATTGCGTTGATTTACCCTGAATTTCTTCTGCAAATCTACCTGAATTTACCTGAAATTGCTCATATGAGCAATCATCAGGGGGGTGTTACACCCCCACACCCCCCCCGCTCGCTACGGCCCTGAATCTTGATATTTAGTAAAACACGCCTAGAGTGAGACTCACTATCTTGAGGATGATGTCAATATAACCAGCAATCAACTGAGATATTTTCTCGCCTTCAACAGTTTGGACGGAGTAATACGATTCCGTGTAATCACCGAAATCCTAAAAGCAATAATACCATACAATGTAATGTAAATTTAAACTTATACCGATGAACTATGCGCTGGTGAGCAAGTGACACTTCATACCAACTATGGGATCTAGCTAAAACTCTATGCTCTAGGTACCTTTCTGTTTTTATTTCCAGACGAATCATATCAAAAGTCACTCCGTTACTTACCAATGTAAAACTGTTTGGTGAAGCCGCCCATCTTCGTACTGTGGTAAGAGGCCAAGTCTTTAGAGTCTAAACGACGCGGCAAAATGCGCAATTCAGCAACAATGCTAAAGGATGGTTTACACTATCAAATTTCTTTGATAACAGTAGGAATTTTGAATAGGTAAATTCTAAGTTTTCAAGGATTTCTAAGAAATGTGTTCGAGAGAACTGAGTCAGTGTTAACACACGAGTCAGTAATTCCCTCAACGTTTCTTAGACAGGGTTCGTACACCTTCATAATTTAAATAATCCAGGGTTTTCCAGGACTTTTTTCATCCTTTTTCCAGGGGTTTTCCAGGGGCATTTGAAATATAAATCTATAAGTGTTTAACGGATAAGAAACGTTTGCGACGGCTAGTACTTCATCTTGCACAGATACTTTTGGGTTTGTACCAGTTTGAACGAAATACATTCATAGTTTGACTATATATAATGCAAGAATCTTTCGTTCAATCTTTCTTTTTTTAAAAGATAGTCTTAAATAGTTTAGGTATGATCCTATACCCAGCTCAGTTTCTCAGTTTTCCAGGGTTTTCCAGGGATAAATTTAGAATTCCAGGGTTTTCAAGGGTTTTCCAGGACTAAAATAAAAATTCAGGGTTTTCCAGGATTTCCAGGGGGCGTACGAACCCTGCTTACAAATTCTTCAAAACGAAGAATTTATCCATGCAAAATTCCTGCTGTGATCACAAAAACTTTGATAGTGTAATTATAATTAAACCATGCAGCCTTAAACTACTTATCTCGGCAAAGAAGACAAGGTTCAAAATATAAGACAACTGCACCTCTTTCGTTTTTTCATCCAGTCTAAGTACACTCTCTTTGGTGATGCCAAGTAAACGTGGAACTAATTTGTTCTTCCCTTTCATTTTTTCCTGTTTATACCAAAGACAAAGATTTTGTCGAAATTAAAACAGCAGACAACAAGGTATTGTACAGTACCGACTGTAAAGAATTCCCCTACCTTAACCAAGAAGAATGTGACACCATAGGTTTTCAAACTGCGACACAGTTGCACATATCTAAACTTTGCTTGAAGTTCGTCCAATCCGTGACATTTCTTATGCTCCTAATGCACAGTAATAATAGTTTATCTAATATGTACTGTACATAATAGTTTATGTAATATTCACAGTAATACTGTAATAGTTTATAGAAATATTTGAAAGAAGAAATCTATATGGAAACATACTTCTTTAATTTTCTTGTCAATGCCTTTTGACTTTCCATATTCTTTTGGCAACATTTCTTTAATCCTAAGAAAACAAGTTGTACAATTATTTACAGTACTGCAAAAGAAACAGTGAAAGCAAACTTTTGTGTGATAATTTTTCTACACTTACTCAATTTTTCCTGATTTATAAAACTGTTCTGCAAAATCACCGAATTGCAGTTGGATTTGCAAGGCTCCAAGCTGGGAAAAAAGGTATGCATATTAAGTACAAGATACAAACAAACATATCAGATACAGTGGAAGAAAATTTATGAATTGTATTTATAATCAATTATTTCATGTTCATTAATACCTGTGCTGCTTCCTCTTGAGTACAAGGATGACTTCCTTTGATAATTCCATCACTACACTACATTCAAATAAAAATGTAATAATGTACAGTACTTTCTACTTGTGCAATACCAGGTGAAAAAGGGCCATAATTGTGATGCAAAGCGAAACAATCAATCAATGAAATATATACAGGGTAGTGCAAGACAAACCCAATTTCCACCTTGAAACTCAAGTTTTGAGAAACAAATCTAGACTGATTGAATTTTGGTAACCAATCAATTACCTGCACATAGAGAAGATTAAGTTGTACTGGGTCCTTGATGTCAACGTTTTTATCAGAGAAAAAGAATTTTCTTTTCAAAAGCAGCGAATGAGTGTCATCAATGCCTTGTTCACGTAACGTTTTGTCCAGGTCGAGCCATTGAACTGCAATAAGATAACACAAAGCTAAGCTACAGTACTGATATAACACTGTATTCGTGTTCCACATTACGTTCAAAACACCTTAAAAAATGTGCTCGATTTGCGCCCCTAAGATATCCGAATGTGTTTAGAGAAAACATGAGAAATCTTCCCCAATTTGGTCTAAAATGAAGTATGTTATTGCATCAGAAAATTCCGAAGAATTGAAACTCAACTTGTTGAGCTGTAAGTGATTCTGATTCACCAGAATGCATTCCAGATAAACTGGAAACAGAACACACATTAGAATGCATTCATATCCCATGCGGAATATTCAATGATGAGCACGTTTCGTACGTGTTCTTGAGCGCTGAGCAGTGCCATAAGATACACAGTACAAAAGATTCTAGAGAAGTCGGGGTTTTTGAAATGTTACCTTCGTCATCAGTATGAAGTTTTTTCTTCATTTCATCCATCTTTTTTCTATCTCGTTCTTCAATTTTTTTCATGGAAACATCCTTGACTGAATGATGTCCTGTGCCAGTTTTATCCTACAAAAATCACCATCATATTTCAGGGCTCGAAACTTGAAATTTTTGTCAGTATATACCAGCATCATAGAATCTAGTATCCATCCTTGAAATATAGTAGCCCAGATTTGGATACTAGATATTCTATTTTCAGTATCTAAGCAAGGCAAAATTTTACCTTGCAACCAGGCCTTCAGTTGCTGAGCAAAAACCAGGCCTTTAGTTTCAATAATAAAAATATGTATTGAAATTCGAAAAAATTGAAAATAACACACTGCGGCGATACGAAAGAAAGCACCGTTTGTGAAATTTTTTTAAAAATATTCTGCCAAAATCCATAGACATTGAAGTTCGGAAACATGCCAAACATCTAGATGATTATCTACTATCGCAATTTCTAAGTTTTCCTAGTATCCAGTTGGGATACGGAGCTTATGATACCCAGTATCCAAAATTAAAATCTGATATCCCGTGGATATCGGGATACCGCAAGTTTCGAGCCCTGATATTTACATTTTAAAATCACCATCAATACCAACCACTATTGGAGCACCAACAAGAGAGCTTTTAAATGTCAAATCCTAGCTGTGGCATGATTTCAGTAAACAATATACAACTTCAACAGGCAAACCGAGGCTTTCTTTGCACATTTTTAACGTTTTCAAATAAGGTTAACCACCAGCAGGTCACTTTACTTATGTTGCCTCTGATTCGATACATAACCGGAAGACGTAGGTGATAGGTTTGGATTAATTACTTTGAAAACATTAAAAACATGCAAAAGCAGATCGGTTTGCCAGTTGGAGCTGTAATCAATTATATTTGCCATTTCAGAAACTACAATTCTGATCACTCTCTGTAGCAACACCAAAGGAGCGATTTTGTCCTCACTTTTTTCAATGTTCCTCTGTTCAGAGTTGCTGTCTTCATCTCCTCGCCTTCCTCCATCATTTCCTCGTAAATTACCAAGGAAAATTCCTCTGAGTTGCCAACACCTAAATCAAGAGAATTTCAGTATCAGTGAAAGAAAAAATATTAGATACACAACAACGCATACACTATACTCTTGCTCTGACCTACAGTAACACAACAACATGAAATTTGGCATATAACTCCTTTGTACTTCCTAGTAAATCACTGAATTTGTACAGTGAATTGTACTTGTATTCTTTACTATCTGATTGTCAACGTTAAGTCGTTTTTCACCCCATTATATTCTTCATAGTATAAGGTTTAAATTCTTACCCATTTTGGCACACACAGACTGAAGAATATCACCAACTGTTTTACTATCATCGATCTATTCAAAAACAATACTTCAAGTCAATTGTGATCCATGAAAAATATTTGTTAAATTTACACAATTGTACAACAGTGAGAAAATTTGTCTACATGATTACTGGTCAATGTCCATCTTCCTACAAAGATGCCAGTACCTAGAATGAAAGAAACTGGACAAGAGATCTTCATACCTGTACTGTCTTGACAGCACCATCCATTGTGTAAACTTTAAGAAGCCGAATCTTGCTTTTGTATTCCAACATGTCCTGAAGAGCAGAGTTATGTAAGTTAATCCATTAAGCTGCAATTGTACTGACATGGTAGCATACTCCCTCTGGCAATAGGATCGAAGGGTGCTCAGAATTAAAGATCGCATAAATCTAAAGCTTTAATGGATGAAGTGTTGTGAACAATACAACGAAACGTTAGCCAACTAATTTTTGTTAAATTTGCACAATTGTACGACAGTGAGAAAATTTGTGTACATGATTACTGGTCAATGTTCACCTTCCTACAAAGATGCCAGTACCTAGAATAATGAATGAAAAATGACTTTTGGCTCAAAAGTGGTGCATTTTTTCCGCGTGTACGAATACTAAAATATTCAAAATTTGCTAATTTCACAGGGCTATTTTCCCGTATTTTACAACATTTTGCAACCAAATTTGGCAATTTTACTACTTTATAGGCTTGGGCGGTTTTGCTTAAAATCAAAACCGAAAAACCGTCTGATTCTAAACCGGTAAAACCGAAAAAAACGTTTTTTTCCCTTTAATTTGTATTTCAACTGTATGAGGAGGAATTGTGGTATTTTTCAGTCATAAGCAAACGAACAGTACATGACAAAACACAAAATTGTGCAAAGGTAACCTAAAACGACTTCAGTTTTAAAATAAAAGGGTCAAGAACGCATTTGAAAACTTATACCTCTTCAGTTCTTACCGACTTTATGGAAAAATAATAGAATTTGTATCTAGTGTCACGTAATGGTGTCATGTTTTGAGAATTAAGATCGAGTTTCAGGCGATGACAGTAAACAATTACGTAATGACGGTTTTCCGGTTTTTGTAAAAGCTAAACCGAAA